CAATTAGGTCCCCGAGTCTTTTTTATCATTACTAACAATTAAATAGCAATAACAAGATAAAATGTAGGACCCTAATTTTTTTCTCAGCACTAACAATACAATACGTCTAACAAGATAAATTTGTAAAATTCCACAGACCTTGTTATTAAGTAATCCTCTGTATTATCAAACAAACCAAATAGGGAATTGCCTTGGTGCTTGCATATTAATTAATTATAGAGATCAATAGAGAAATTGACTGGATTTGTGACCTGTGATGACCTCCGGATGATTGTAGCCGTGTTACTGCTGCCAAGCAAAGATCATGATAAGCAGGAGGGACCACCAATCTGAAGCTTGATAGCTCAGTTGGTAGAATCCCACTACAGCGCTCAGGAGGTACATCAATGGATGCAGATCAACACAACAGATAATGTCCTGAAAACATTGCAGGTGTGTTTGGTTCTAACATCAGTGTGTCCAGGAACTACCACTGCAATCTTTAGTGATATGAAAGGCTGTGCCGAATATTCAAGTATCCGAATATTTGATTGGTTATCGAATATTCAAATATAATTTTCCGAATTTGAATATTCGAGTGCAAAATTCATGAAAAGGAACGGGGAATTTGCTTTGTTTTAAATGAGAAAAATTGCACTATGGAACCTTTTTTTCAAGTATATTCAAATGAAGAACAATTCAAAAAGTAAATTATTCATTATACAATTTAAAAGGAATACAAATTTTCAACAGGGCAAGATGTATTTTTTGTCTCTTAATCTTGCTAAATCATGGCTGGAGATACTCCTAGAAGTGAGAAGCTATTTCAGTGATCATAATGGACAATCATATGCATTATAAAACATTGGTTTTGTGTGTGGTTTGTTCCTCAACAATCTGATCTCAAAAATCAACCAAATATTCAGATATTCGACTAGTGAATTATTCGAATTGAGTCAGCCCCCTGATGTGATTGCATAATTCAAGGCATATTACTTACATGGAACATGAGTCGAGCATCGGTCACTGTAGATAGCACAGTCGTTTCCTGTTATTCATTTTCTCTATTTCGGGATACTTTAAATTTCACTTAGATTAATTTTTAAATTCTATTTTTGTTTTTGCAAATCAACAATACCCAACTTTGTCATAATATTGGAAAATTGTCCTGTAAATTTGATATCAATTTAAAATCAATTGTTTTTCCTTTGTACTTTGTTGCCTTGGGTCATTTTTCAGTCCTAGGCTTTTCATTGAATAGAGCAATGTTCATTATTTGTTTGGCTGATACCAAATTCACTCACATGTACATGGTCCTTTGGTTTACTTAAGATCTGTAAACCTTTTTCAGTCACTTTAAGATGTGCAAAGAATTTTCAGCCTTTCTCATTTGATACCAAATTTATTTGTACAGTGGTTAGGTTACTGCTAACAACACGTGACTGTTACTAGTGAGCCGTGCCCACTACTTCACAGAGAGTTGGCTTTCTGATCTTTTTCAATTCTTAAAGAGGCAAGAGGAGGCAGCGGAGAGAGCAGCCCAGGAGTTGGCAGTCACCAAGGCCAAGGAAGAGGAAGAGAGGAGACGACGGCGGGAGGAGAAGGAGGCCAGAGAGAAAGCAGAGGCGGAGTGGAAGGCGGCCAATGAAGTGAGTCGGAGCAGGGGACTAATGGGTTCAGTACGGGTGTGTTGAGGGCGCTGTTTGATTCGCTCATAATGGAGAAAGTGGACGGGGACTGCCGCATAGCAACAGCATCACAGCATTTTTGATGTGCATAACGTAGGACAATTTACAGTGCAATTTTCTTTATATGATAAGTGTTGTGATTAAACATTTTGAAATCTGCGAGCATTTAGCCATTACGGTAGCTCAATAGAATGGCCTGCTTTGTAAATAGCTACAAGATATCAGGTTAGAAAACCCAGCTTAGGATTTTGTAAAAAAATATTTCTGCAATGCAAGTTAAAAAATATCAATAGTTGGTTTGGAAACATTTTGTTCTTTATTCTCTTTGTTGATTTAGAGCGTTTTCTTTTTGAAATGAAAAATGATGCTTGAGCACCCGTCTTGCTTTTGACCGTGTTTTGAGGCAGTCTTTAATGAGAAGTAGAGTGGGGAAAAGCAGAAATGGACGAGCAGTTGGCAAACCGAGAAATATTGGAACCAAAGTTCCAGTGGTTACGTGCATTATCCACTGGGGGTGCAATTTAGCCCACTCATTTAACACGGGAAGCTCAGGGAAAAGCTCAGGCAATGCAGATGGTCAACTGAAGGTTTGTCAAATGGCAAGAGTAAGTCAAATTGACCAACGGTCTCCCTTACAGGGACTGTAAACCAGATTGGTGTGCTCTTTCAAAAGATGCCCTGCATGGGTGCAAATATTGAAACAGTGGTTGCCCAACTTCACAGAAAAATGGTGAGCATTGGCAAGATTCGCATCGAGGAAAAAGGTTCTGTTCCCTGGATTAATGTCAACACCAATTGAGTCTTTTTTTCCCTCTCTGTTCACAGGCTTTTTTGGAGACGAAGGAGAGACTGAAGGCAGAAGAGGAGCTCCGAAGAGCCAAGGAAGAGGAGGAGAGACTGAGGAGGCAACAAGAGGAGGCAGAGAGGGAACGCATCTCTAGGGAACGAGATGAAATCAAGAGGGTAAGATGTAATACTCGTCTTACTTGATTACCTATTTTTAACTGCTGGACAGAAAAGACTGTGAGTGAATGTTGACTTTGTGAGATGTCAGCGGGATTTCAAATATTTGAAATCATTTCTTTAGTGCTCGCTGCTGTTTCTGGATTTGACCAGACAGGTGAGATTGATCCAGGTACCTTAAGACGGTCAGGAGACCCCACAAGATCAACATAAGACCCCCAGTCTGAATTTAAGTCAAGAGTCGTTCAAATGAACTGCAATCAAAAAAGCACTTCTTCTCAATTATTCACCTTGTTACTTGTAACTGATCTCGTGTCTGGTCTTGCTACATCCTGACTACAACACAAGTACAGTAGATTCCCGTTATAACGCTCTCAAGGGGGCCTAACAGAATTGAGCATTATAACCGCACAGCGCTGTAACCGACTGGATGGACGCGCACATGTGTAACGCGCATGTGCATGTACTTCTACGTACATGTCTAGTATACATTTATGTATCAGCATGTTTATGTATGTCATGTATAAGAATTTTGTTTACATGTATTGGCAAATGTATGTACCGTAATTTTGGGAGTACAATGTATATGCTTGTGTCCGTTTATCTTGATTTTTTTATGACGCTGATAAAAAAAATACCAAATCTCTTCAAAAACTGCTACAGGACCTTGTGCATGCTGCATCGTGACACACGCACTACATTTACACCCACCGTGACATCCTGACTGCTACTACGTACCCATTCATGGACAGTCCAATCGATGACTTTTCCCAGATCTGACATGTCACACTGAGCACAATTGGCAAAAAGATGAGAATTGTTATACGAGGATACACGTACAATTTAAGCAGCTGATTCTATTCATCAGTAGAAAGAAATCATTTGGTAACAAAATATTGCATGAAATGTTTCAATGTTGATTATTTGTGTCCCAAACTACACCACAAGAATAAATAAAAAGGGGGAAAATAATCACTACAATGTTGCCATAGCAAAGCCACGCAGACGCGGCTCACCATGGTGAGCACGTGCTCGCGATCGCACTGCATTGACGGCCCATCCAGTACGTATCTGTACTCTGTGTGATTGCTAAACTACGTGTCCAGGATGGCCAGCCAATTGCGGTGGCCTTGCGATGTGGTTCCATATGCACTGATTTTCAAAGAATCCGACTTTCCAAGGTAAAGAGTGCCGTAACCGGAATCATTTCACATGCTTTTTTATGGTTCTCGGGGCCGAAAATTGTGAGCATTATATCCCAAAAAGCATTGTAAACGGAAGCGCTGTAACCACATAAAAATGTACACAGTGAATGGGCGTGCAGTTGGGGAAATGAAAATAGAGTGTTATATCGGTAAGAGCGTTATACCAGCGAGCACTATAACGGGAATCTACTGTAGACATTAATAAGATTGATGATCTAGAGATGAGAAATCTGCACTTGCATGCCAGAGGGAGTGAGTTCATGTCCAACCCAAGCAGACTAGTAAATTTCTTCCCAGTAGCTTTCGCAAAGCAGAGTATACAGTCCCTAACAAATTGTGTTGGTGAGGGCAAAAACAAGTACTCAAAATAGACATCTTCCCCAGCCCCAAACTCCACCTACCAATATTTTTCTGCATGCTTTTTTCTGTCCGTCTTCCTTAAGTTCAGGAATGCTATGAACTTACTAATTTACTACCTGTGTATGCCATCATAAAGAAGTGAGCATTGTCCAGGTCTTGTGCAGCTTGGAATTCTTCTTGCCTTTTCAGGCTTCCCTCTCCCCAGAGTAAAACAAATCTTAATCAACAGAAAAATTCTCTGAAACAAAACAATAAAAGTTACCTCGTTTGGGGGACAGGCCCTGGAGGATGCCAGCAAGCGAGCGGATATGGAGGCCGGTCTGAAGGAGGCAGAGCAGAGACGTCTTGCTGAGTTAGAGGAGACCCTAAGACACCTGCAGATGTTGTTGGATGAAGAGAAGCGGGCACGGTTTGAGCAGGAACAAGCACGAGAACTCCAGCAAAGGTCTGTCGTTCATCTCCCCCCCCCCCCCGGGGATGTTACACATGACAAAGCCACAAACCAACTCTTACTCTTAGCCGACTCATGTCAATCAAAAAGAAAGTGCTTACTGACATCTTTGTTTACTTTGTGTACTCCATTTATAAATCATATTTGTTGGTGTTGCCACAATATTTTGGTCCGACAAAAACAGGGCCCCAATTTCGTTTTGCTAAAATTCCACACTCAAAGCACATGCCTCAAAATGCTGCACATCCATATGATTAATCTTAAAGGGAAAGTCGATAGAAATCATCTTGATCCTCTTGCTACTCTGGCTTCATGGGGGCTTGGTGCAGTTTGAAAACTTCTTTCCTGAAATATCTGGCAACTACAATTTAAGGCATTGGTACCGGACTCACTAGCAAGTCATTTTGACCAGTGAGGTGTTTGCAACTTTCACTAGTGCATGCATTCTTTAAGTTAATATACATTGGTGAATAGCACAGTTACCTGGGGAGCATCTGTCAGATGAACCATCCACTATTGCATAGGAGTCGATCAGTGGGAGAGACTGATATTATATTTTCAACAGAATGTGCACAAAACTGTTCATCAACACACAAAAACACACCTGGAGTTGACCTATCATGTTTTAACAGAAGTATTTCACATTCTCACTGCTAACTGTTGTATTGATGCATGAATTTCCTAAGTGATAAAGTTCTCCTTCTGTTCTGTCCCAGGCTCCTGGATGAGGAAATGCAGAGGCGTGAGCACCTGGAGCGACTCAAAGAGGAGCAGGCCCGCCTCCTGGCCCAGGAGCAACAGCGACGGGAGGACCTGGAGGTCAAGAGCGAGGAGCTCAGCAAGGAGTTCATGATGCAGGAGGCCATTTTGGAGGAAGAGCGGACCAGGCTGGCCGAGTTGGAGACCCAGAGACAAGCTGCAGATGAAAAACTTCAGGTAAGGTACTGTCTGTCTTGAAACAAATCTACCATGAGGAGCTGGGATAGGCTGCAGTCAAGGGTCAGGTCAAAGGCTATATACTGATGCGTCTAGGTACATGTATATATAGATCATAGTGTTTCTGCCTTGCTGAAGGAAAACATTTGTAAAAGTTCATCCTTGAACAGTTCTGAGAAAGTTGAGTCTGAGAAAGTTAAGTCTTACATATTGCATGATGCCCATTTTAAGTAAAAAAAAAAGATCCAGTTGTCTTTGGAGTTGTGGATTTTCAACAACCCGGGAAATGGGGCAAAAGTTCAAAAGGGGTTAGAGTTAACTAAACCACAACCCCACCTTCGCTTCACCATCACTTACATACACGTATACCGAGTCAAAACTTCTTCAGGAGTGTACTCACTGTCGAGTTGGTCAAGGAGAAAAACCAGAGAATCTGTAGAAAAACCTGATGGCTTCCACAAACAACTCAACTCACGCAAGGTGTGGGCCTGGAATCGAACCGATGCTGCCGTTGTCAACGGGCAAGTACGTAATATGCATGAGCCACCCACCACTACATTTACTCAACAGGCGGCCATGGAGAAGATTGAGACAGCCGAGCGGAACCGGAAGATCATCCAGAAGAAGAGGGAGGAGCTGAGTAAGACCAAGACGTCGTTGGGTCTGGCCCAGACCATCAAACCGCAAGCCCGACCCCTCGTGACCCACCGTGGCCTTCCATCCTCGGCCTTTGCTGCCGTTGAGCCCCAAGATTTTGAACCTCACCAAGAGCACAACTTGCAGGTAAGCAGAATGAAAAATATTCTCCCTTCATTCTGGCCTCAGATATTATCAAAATTAAGTATTTCTGGCAATGAAACCATGGATTTCTCAAAAGTGCCCTGAAAACTGTACCTCATAAGTCTTGAAGAAATCTGTCAAGAGGAAATGATGAGAAGCAGTCACAGCTCCAGAAGTAGGAAGAAAGTCCCAGAAGAATACCCTGGGTAAAGCTCACAGAATCAGATAGGGACTGAAAACAAAAACATGCTAACCTAGCTGGGAATCGAACCTGGGCCGCAGAGGTGAAAGGCGAGGAAAGAACCACTACATCAGCCTGACTCCGCTTTTAACCACATCGCGCCGGGGGCATTTATGAATGTTGATATGGCTGGGACGTATTCTTTTTCATTTTTTTCTGTTTTCAAAATTCTTTAGAAATTCATATCTTCATTTACTGGACACTTAGACCCACACGAAGGACTGTTTCTACTCTAATCTGACAGACAACATCTAGTGATGCTGGAGTATTTCAGCTAGGCCTGCTGCCTTGTAAAAAGAGCCCAGATTGTGCGGTGTTACATAATTTCCTTTTGTTCATGAAACTGGCACAGTGCACTGCTGACCTCTTTTCAATAGGGGCCAGATTAGCGTGCAGCGGTATTGTGCGGCTCATTGCTACGGTGGTGGAGCACTGAATGCCCCAAACCGTGGTATACTGTTTCAAAAAAATGCTGGATTTTCTCCACTATTAACAGTGAAAAATATGTTGGTAATTTGCAGCAGCATGGTCTTTTGCTACAAGGCCCAGTTCCCTTTGTCCAATTTCAGAGACCCCGGCTGTGCATATAAAGAATACGTGCCCAAAACCAAGCTCCCCGGCAGCAAGTGGTTAAGATACGAGTCAGACGCAGGATTTAATGAAGCACTGCCGATGCCAAGACTCCTGTTGTGACGTCCAACATATCTCACTGAGTCATAAGCTGTCTCAGTAATGATGTGTTGAAGTTTTTTACTTTGTTTTGAAACACTTTATGAGGTCAGACCTCGTAAGGCATTGTAACAAAAGAGTGTCTGGGACAATTTCTGAAGAATGATGAAGATAAATATCAAAAGAGAGCCTTACCTTATATGTATGTAAAACACCCAATTTACTTTTCAAACAGTGTACAAAACTCAAAGCTGTATTTGCGGTTGAGGTGTTTGGGACTGGTAGGGTGAGAAAAATACGAAGCATGCTTTTGTGCAAAATGCTTTCATAATCTACAGTTTTACTTCCTGATTGGGAACAAACGTCTCCACGGTGTAAAACAATTTCTGAAAGTGACATCACTGAAACAGTGCTCTCAGTTGTCGTGAAGTTAAACAGAATGTTTTTAAGTAAAACGCATGGTCCAAAAAACATAATTAATTTCATTCTATTGTATTGGTACTGTTCGGACGCAAAGATGAGATAAAATTTGTTATTTTTATCACTGCTATTAGTAGGACATCCATTGCGCAGCTGCCATATTTTTGCTGTACTCCCCTGCAAAATGTGTTTATTTTAACCGAGCTTTGACTTTTTGCCTCCTTTCTTAATCTAGAATGAAAGCAATGCTGTGAACGGCCAGACGGATGCCAACGGTCATTTATAAGCACATCCTTTGTTGGAGCGACCAGTCTCAGCCAAACTGTTTTCCATTAAGTTGACTTCTTTCTGTCCTTCATTTATGAACGGAGTCACGATTGTGACAAGTAACAAAATTCACTGGCCTTAGTAAAGCAAGCCTGGTATAACAATCGCAGTATGATTTACATGCCTACAGTTCTCACCATTGCCAGGTAAAGTTATTAATAAGCCTTTCGCGAGTTAAATTTAAATAAAATCTGGTACACTGAGAGTTCTTTAAATTCGTCTGAATATAACAATTTGAATTTTCCATACTAAAGACACTGTTGCTATACCTTGTGATTTGGGGCAAGCTTTTCCTTAGTTACATTAGAGAGGCCTTGCCTCAATATACGTTTTTCAATGGATAAGAAGGGCACAAAGGAACCAGTCCATTCCAGAGATGTTGGTCGCCATGCAAATATTTGCCCCGAATCATGAGGTATAGCAACAGTGTCTTTAGTCTTTATTCAAATTTAACTTGCAAAAGGCTTACTGAACAAAACAAATTATTGCATAACAGATCACAGTATGCAGTTGCTTCGAGATATCCATGCGATTCAAGTACAAGTAGACAATACACTCGTCAGTGCCATACGAGAGCCCATGGAGGGGGTTGGCTCAGATCCATTTGCAAGAAAGTGCGCTTGGGCCAGCACCCTTGGCGTTCTTGCTGCTCACTTTCCTGGTGTTCCGACTCAACCCGATGAAAGTCACAATGTCATTGTTCCCTCCCTGGGCTACCACCATCCAGGCTGCTTTTCAGCACAGTTTGACTAGAAAACTTATCCCCTTCCTTACGTTTATACCCAAGTTCCGGCGCTGTATTATGCAATGGCAACTTGATTATTTAGAGAAAAAAATAATCAACTCTTAGGTTGGAGATCGGGATGAAAGGAGGTTTTTTGTCTGCAGCAAGAGACAGCCAAGCCAAAAATGAATTATTAGTGAGCTGTGGTTAGCTCATTTCCCGTTTGCGGATGCCCTCCAAACACTTGATACTATGTATACTTCTGACCGCCTAGCTAAAGTACACCACACCAAAGATTTCACCTGGCACTTCAGTCATATTTCTCATCTAGAGCTTCCCCGAGTGACATTGTTGTTACCTGTTGTTACCTTGTGAGATAGTTGGTGTAATATTTGTTGAAGATGTCTTCCCATTTGGTGTACCACTCATCATGGCTTATTTGACAAAACTGAACAATTGAAAACAGATGAAATTTTTTCTCTGTAGTTGAAAATACAAAATGTGCACCACTTTGGGTTACAATTTCATTCACAAGCAATTGACATTATTACTTAGTTACCTTGTCAACCACTTGCATAGTTTTTAAATATACCCGTGAAATCTTTCATGATGGATGTTATTTCTACTCCGAAACTGAAATTTTCACCATTTAGTACTGTCAAAAATATATAAATATTGCATATCTTAACTGTCAAGATCAAATTTATGTAAACATGGTTTGTAAATGAATATTTAGCTTTAGTTTTGTAATGGAAATATTCACATTTTTCTTTTCTTATTTTATGGTTTGGGGTTTGACTTTAATTGTTGATGCTGACTTTATGAAATGATATCGTTACCAAACTGTGAAAAGGCTATGCTTTTTAAAATTCGTTTTTAGTCCTAATTTTTCTTAGAGACTCTGTTCTCAATCAGTGTGAAAATAACCGTTTTTACAACTTATAACAACCATCTGGTGATACGTTTGATAACTTAGTGTAAAGGAATCAATAATTTTGACATATTGCTCAAATTTTCTTATATATTTTTGCACATGTGACATCATTTATTTTAGAACTGTATATGGCAATTTGTATGCAAAAGTACTACTTTTTGATTAAGGGAATGACTTTGTCTACTTAAATTTTATTTTCTCTGCCATGTTAGTCAATCTAGATGTTCTTTTTGTAGTGCTTTGTTATAATCTGAAGGAAAAACTGCTTAAATAGCATATTTACTCAGTGGTTTTTTAACAGTTGTGTGTGTTTGTTTGTTTGTTGAGAAACCCTACTTTGATGTAAAATCCAGAAGGGAAGCTAAACTTGCAGAGTTTGGCTGCCTTTCCAAAAGTGTGGTTTTGGTTCCATATCTGCATGTGTGTACCACTTTTCACCTCTGTACAATTTCAGTGAGCACTTCCTGCAAGTTAGGCACACCGACATGAGGTGCATTAGCAATGCATCATTTTCAAAAATGCACTTCAACTCTTCACTCCAAAATGAAACAAGAAAAATGTTCTGCAGTGATGTTGCTGTTTTTCTTACGTTGTTGTGCAACATGTTGGTCAATTGTTTGATCATTGTTGCCAGTTTTGTTTTGAATTTTTGTACAGCTTCTATTCGCTAGAAATTCCCAGCAAGAAAAAATACGACATTCCAGCTGCACTCCATGTACCCAGCTGTTTAGTGTGTTAAATGTCCTGACAGTGCTTTTTTGAAATTAAAAGGGCATCGTTCTGAGTTCATGACAAACTGGAATTGAATTTATGAAAAAAGAGTGGTTGGATTAGCTGATTTCTCTAGTTATGCTTTTATTGTTATTCAAAATACTTTCTTTGAATAATAAAAAGCTACACCTGATTAAAAGTATCCGATACGCCAAATATCTAATTCTTAAACCCCAGCTTGGTTTCTGTGTGTTTCTTCTGTCCTCGTCAGTGTCTCCATTGCAGCCTAGCCTTAAGCGTGAACTCAAAGGGCAAAAAGTACATAATTACTAGTCAGACGATTGAAAATAGTCACAAGATGCGTCTTCGGCTCCAAATATCAATTTGAGTCGACGCTGTTACGAACCCAATGTTTGAAGACGAATAACCAAATTTCAAGCCAATCAGCACAAAGCTGAAATGTAGTTTATTAAAAACTTTTAACCAATCACAATTATGCAACAAAGATCGCTGCGATCTTTGCTTTAAAGAGGCAAACATTAAGGTTAAACAATTCTAACGTAAACTGGTGAATTTTGCAAGCGATTTTTTTTACAGTAAGACAGAATAAAGGCCTGGAAAAAATTAAACAAGAGGAGACAGCGACTGCGAGAAAAAAACGAGTACTGTACGAAGGCGCCACAGCCCTTCGTTTGCTTTGATGTAGCCAACATGGCAAAACTATGGCTGGCCGTGAAATCAAAGCAAAAAAATTATGGTTCAGAAAGTGTGTAAAAATCGTGTACTAATATTAAAACGTGAAACAATACACATGCTGTTTGATGAAAGTGACACCCGTTTTAATACTCTAATGTTTGCACACTCAACAAATTACGATTGAACCGACCCAAAGTGAAAACGTTGCCCGAGCAAGACTGTAGACAACAAGTGTGGGAAATGGATTTAAAAAAGCAAAACCAAACATACACAAAACAGGTTAATATTTGTGTTGCGTTCCCTAAATATCAAGTCGATGGTAGCATAGACTTTACTAGTGTCTGCGGGATGTGGTATTTGGGGTCAACAATTTATGAAAAGGTGGACGGGAAACAAGGGGTTTGGGTGACAGTCAAACTGTACAGTTTGTATTTTGCTCTCAGTTCTCTTCATCAAAGTTCAATGTGGGGTTGGAGACGGGTGTAGATTAACATAATACAACACATAAAACGCAAAGTTATAGAGAGGCGAAGTTGCATACAAGTATAACTGAACTACGGTTTGGCAGGACCATTAAAAATGCAAGTCAGACGGAGTGGGTATAGACTTCAATCAAGTCGGACTTACGTTGCTCTTGCTTAGTCAGCCGGTAAGCACTACACGGTTGTTGCGCTTGGCCGGCCCGGCAGCTTGCATAACCCTTATAGGTCGAGTTCGGGCGGCCTGTTCTTGACACGGGTTTCTTGTTCTCGCGCTTGAATGGCGGGAACATGACTCAAGAACACTGTTCTCGATTTTGATTTTTATTTTTGAACAGCTGCAATAGTGGAGAGATGGCTTCCAAAGCCATAGACAATGGGAAGTTTTGCAAAATTAACGTTAATTATTTTCCGTAACACAGAAATGAATGTTCCTGTTTATATAGAAAAGAATCCAGCCCATCCAAGCATTAACTCTCGAATAACGTAGCCTACATGGACGCCGCCATGTTGAATGTTGCTTGTCACTCACTACCAGCGATAACCAGTTGTTTGTTCCCGGCGTTCGAGCGGCTGACCCCCGGACACCAAATCGAGCTGTTCGCGAACATACGGAAACAAGCCGCCCGAACTCGGCCATAGAGTACCGAAGTGAATACGTACGTCAGGGAAAACTCGGCAAAACTGAAAAATCCCCTCTAAAATGTTGGCTTCACTTCCAACTTCTGACTCTGTTACTTTGGATGTAACAAAGACGGGCAAAAATTCGGCAGGAAAAGGATTTTTATTGTGTGCAAGTTATCAAAAGGGAACCGGTGTGGAAATAAGGGGAAAACAACCTTTTCTGAGCTTGATGTTGATCGATTACTTTTGGAGTCCACCTGTGCGAGTCAAGAGCCATTTTCTGGCTACAGTGGGATTCAGTACGCATGCGCACAAACTACGTGGGTGGGGGAATGAACATACGCCTTTTTTACACGCAAAGAGCGAGGTCCTATCCAGTCTTTATAACGGGGATAAATGGATTCGTAAGTGTGACGTCACTTCAGTTTAAACCACGCCCACTGCACATGCACTGCACATGCACTGATCGCCGTTTACATGGAGCCAAGGAAGCGGAAGTTGAGCACAACTTCAGCGATAGTCTAACGGGAGCCTGAAAATCGGGGTGCGTCCTTCTATATGACGAAGTCACCTACGAACCGGATTATTTTGGTGACTGGCATGACCAATAACCGGAAAGCTATGAGACGCCCTTTATACCTTTATTAGTACCAACTCAAACAAAAATAATAATACGAGACAAATATATATAGGACGAAAGTGAAATACATGTAAATCTAAAACGAAACAAATATACAAAAGACGAAAGACAAATATAGAGTACGAAACTAATCTATATAAGAAAAAAGGATACTTAAGGGACGCAGGTGATTGATATAGGACGGAAACTACTGAATATACGACAAAACTCATAAACGACGAAATACAGAGCAAAAATAATATATAGAACGAAGCTAATATAATAGACGAAAATAATATATATAGGACAAAACTATATACACGGGCTGAATCTAATGTATAAAGGATAAAAGCACATTTGTTTGGTTTTAGATTTATTTCACTTTCGTCCGATATATATCAGTTTCGCTATATATATATATATTATTTTCGTCGGATGTATTTTTGTACTAATAAAATCATAAAGGGCGCCTCATACAAGCCTATAGCGGCGATAAACGATCTGCGGACAGCATGTAGCGTTGAAGACTTGCCTCACCAATTACAGTGTTTTACCTCACCAAACGAAATCGCTCATACATGACTGAGCAAACGGTGAGAAAAAAATAGTCATACTCTGTTGTTTTTTTTATTTCAAAAGAAGTTTCGTAACGTGTCCCTGGCCGTTGGCACTATCCGGCTTTAGTGAGAGATCGAGTCGAGAAGCGAATGTGCAGTGAGTGTGCCTCGTCAATGAGAGATTAATTCACAATTGCCTTCAATACAATTACAAGCAGCAGTTTGTGTGTAGAGTCCTGGTATAAAAATGGAAGATAAACGGACTTCTTGTACTTACCTCTGCATTCTCCTTGCATCAGTTCTCTTCGATTCGGAAGCCGGTAAGTTAGATTCCTCACTAGGCCTACTTTTGATCATTTATCCTCTACCTAGGCAAGGCCTAGATTATAGGCCTACTCACTGGCGACGGAATGGGGGGCAGGGCTGTTCCCCCTTCTTTTTCGACTGGTGGGGGGGAATGGTCTTATTCCTTGTGGTCTTACAAGATGGTTAATAAATCCAACCTTTAGTGGAGGGATTCACTTATACTTGTTCACAAAGATTCACCTAACCATACTCGCTAAATGTCAAAGGTCCATCTTGTGCACTTGTATATTTGGAGGGGGGTGGCAGTGTGAAATGAAACAATCTCAACCTCATTTCTTACAAATAAGACAAGAACCTTTACAAGAGTAAAGAAGTTTTGGAGTTATAGCCAGGAGAAAAAAATGATACATCTCTTAATCAAGAAAGAAGTTTTTAAAAATGAACCTTTTAAATAGGTCTGAATTTATAGTGTTTGTTATTCAGGTGGAAATTCTAATTCTGAAACAAAATCTAGAGAACCTTCGAACAACAATTGGTTCCACTTTTAATTTGCCCCTCGGCCAATAAGGTTGGAGGCTGTAGTCTTGAGTTATTGTGTAACCTGTTAGTCTGAAACTGTTAAACTCTGTGTGATGCTGGTCAACAGTTCCAAAACCAGCATGCTATCAAAACAAGGAAATCTTCAGCATAAACATCAAGATACGCCTACAATATACTGCCTGATAACACAACCATTCCAACATTTGGTAATGTTCGGTTCGAGTGTTTTTGTAACAACAGAACAACAAATTTCTTAGCAGTGCAGATCTTACGCATCCAAATTTGTTTTCCTGTCTTCACTCATTGATGTACGGAAGTGCGTAAGGGCCACTTGCAAAAACATTTTTCGAGATATTGTCTTGCCACAGCGACTTGCTCATCTCGTCGCGGCGAGACAGTATCTCGAAAAACAATTTTGCAAGTGGCCCTTATATGCTTCCTCATCGATGCAAACAGTAAAATCCAGTATAGCTCATGAACATCCATTGGCAGAGTGAGGGGGCCCTATACATGGCATCCAAATAGGGCAATTAAAAATATATAACGAGAAAAAGACAATTTGGGAGACTCTTTCAATTCCCATCCCTCCAAAAGCC